GACCTAGTGGCGGTGTCGAGAATCTTTTGCGTGCGGATTCTAAAGCAGCAGCTAATACTCGCGCATCGTGTGCGGAACCCTCCCATCCAGATAACATGTACGTAAATTTCATATCAAAAGTGCACACGGCAAGCACATTAAGTGAAAAAAACCCCTTCCTATTTCTGTAAAGTTCAGCAGTTTCACGAGGGGGAACACATGGGATGTGAGTACCGTCAAGTGCTCCAACACAATCCTTGGGTCAACGGTTTGGAAATCTGGATGTAAAATGAAGTCCTGCTTCAGTTTGCATACCGCCACAAGAACTTTGGTGAAGTACTCAGACACCGTCGATCCAGATCGTTGCCAAGTGTCATGCGCCTCCCTGTTAGTTTGGTTCTGACATAATATAGTTAGGAATATAAATAATTGCTCATCAACATTTAGGTGGACAGTTGGTTACAGTAAGCCCCTTTCCTCAAGGATAAAACTTAGTCGCAAGAACGCATCACTACTCATACGGACTTTGTCATACATCACTGTTGGACTACGTTCCAAATAATACTGCACCCTAAGTGCACCGCCTCAACCAGAAGCGTGCCTTCGGCGAGAATGTTGTCTGTATATAAATCCAACACATAGCGTAGTCGCCGCAGCGACAACTTGCATGAAAAAATTATCATCACTGTCGTAGTCCGATTCATTAGAACCCAACGGATTAGAATTCCCACCTATATCCATCCCTGTCAAATTTTCAGAATAATGAAGCATAAAGTTATAAAAATGCAAATCGTATGTGTAAAGTTAAAAAGTGCATATTAAACATACTCTTGCATAAATAATTGCATAAATAAGCTTGCATTAAGTAACAAATCCTCAACCAAATGTGCCGCAATCTAATAAGAATTACTCAATTAGTACTAAAAACGAAAAACAATAAAGGAATTCGAACCATAAAAAATAGCATGTTCAATGAAGTCTCTAGAATGGTGGTAACAAATAAAACGAATCAAATAACAATATCACATATGCGAAGAACCATCCCCTCCACGTGGCATTGTGTAGTTGGGTCTCGAGAACGGTGGCATGAATGGTTGAAATGGGGAAGTGGGCTGGCCGAATGTGTTGCTGTGTGCAGGGGTCGCTTGCGTGTTCGGCTGAAAGTACGAGGCCGAAGGCATTTGTTGTGGCGGCAGAAGAGCAACTTGTTGTCCGGTACACTGCTCCATCGTCTGCTGAATCCACACAAGCCGATGGTGTTCTGGCATATGCAGGAATGGACTCTGCCACCTAGGCTCCATAGTCATTAAGTTGAACATGAAGAGATACTATTCCTGAAAGATGTCCAACGTTGCCAATAAATCCATGCATTGATCCTGAATGTTTTCAATCTGAGCCGACATGTTCGCAGATGCACTTACACCGCGCGACCGACTGCTTGTTTCTATCGAATTCACGAGGCGATCCACGGCACGCTCCATATAGCTAGGCGACGCTCTACGAGAGCTACGACTTGACCGTCGACATACTTCTCGCGGTGGTGAGTGTTCATGTTGTCCGCGGCTTTCTCTATGCATGCCATGTCTTCTATCTGTAGGCGGAACATCGTCACCGTCGTTGAAACTAGTTGTTCCTCGCTCAGTTGGGCTGCCGGACCTATGTTGTGGTGGAGCATCATCTTGACCATACTCAAAGGCCCCATTTGCCCGAGTATTGGCAAACGCGCAATAATATAGATCGTAATCCAACAAGGGCTTCTTCCTCGCCCTTTCAACCTCGGGATGGATCTGTAAATGGAGCAACAAATATTAATACAACAGGTGTCATATTTCTGTAAATGACATATACTATTAGAAACTTACACTGATAAATTGCAGCCAATACTCGTCAGTGCAAGTGGGTTTCTTTTGAATCGGATCCCATCCAAGTCCGGTGGTAGTGCGAAGTAGAAACTCAGCATCAAACGTTTTCTTCAGTCTACTGGCTTTTTGTTTGACTTTGTCCCAAGTTAGGGGAACGGTAAAATGCTCACTTAGCTCCGCCGCCCATTGTGTGTATTTATCTCGGTGAGGGGTGGTACCTACAGAGTTCAATAAATTGAACTCACCTAGCCGTTTAAGCAGTTGTTCCTCGGCTTCCGGGCTCCAATTTACATCTCTATCTCTCCTTCTCGCCATCTATGTATTGACAATACCATAATGGCAGCAATACGTATGTACATAGCATACAAAATTCATTTAATGAGCTCGGATGTTGGAAGGAGGCTCAGATTTGTGTAAAGGCCAGTCATCGTCCTATTATGGAGCATTATCCAAGGCTAGGACAGTTAGGCTACCAAGGTTTATGTTCAATTACTCTTACTGGTAGGTTTCTCATACACTTTATGCCATGATGTTATGCATAAACCGGCAACCAATATGCTGCCTAAGGTTTAGCTAATGTCTCCATATTGATCAAGCAAGGCATTGAAAGTGAATTAAAGCAACCATACCAACGAAGAGTAATGGGATAAACCGGCAACCAACCACTAACCCAGCCACAGAATATCACTCGACATACGGGACTAGGCCATTAAATACAATTATATCATCATAGCCACGGAGAATTGCAATCTAGAAACTGAAAAAACCAGAAACAGTTTCTGTTTTCTTTTTCAGAAACTGCACAACAGGATTTACAAATGTACATATGAAAAGAATATTCAAAAACGATGCCAAATAATGTAAGTATAGAATGATGCACACAGAGAACATTCTTAACAGATGAACAAGGTACGTAATGTAGCTAACCTAGCAGGTGTGTGTGGACATAAGCATTCACAGCGTTTGATGAAGTCTAGACGCTGAAATCACCGGAAACAGGTTATGGTTTTTTTTCCAGAAACTGAACAAAAAGAGGTTCCAACAACTAGTGCCCCGATGAAGTATAGAGGCTGAAAGCACCAAAAAAATAACCAGCACAAGCCACTGTTTTTCCAACATTACCAACATAGGCAAAAAAGGCCCTCTAGATACTGTTCTCTGGATGCAATATAGAAGAGAGATCACTAGAAACAGTTTCTGTTTTTTTTTTCCAGAAACTAGCTTACGGTAGGGTGAAGATGGGTAAATTGGTGACCGGCAAACATTTAGGACTGTTAGAGATCAACAGGGCACATCAAAATGCAAATGACATATTCCACAATCTCAAAGGGGTTGCAACAGACTAGTGCCCCGATGGAGTATAAAGGCTGAAAACACTAAAAAAATACCAGAACAGCCACTGGTTTTTACACAATACGAACATAGCCAAAAAAAATGGCAGTGGGTGAACTGATATCTCAATGCAATCTAGAAGAGAAATCACTGGAAACAGTTAAAGTTTTTCTTCCAGAAACTACAAAACAGGGGTCCAACATACTAGTGCTCGATGAAGTATAGAGGCTGAAAGCATATGAAAAAATCACCGGAAATGCCAACGTAGGTTCACAGAGATGCCATCTAGAAGAACATGTTGGTTTTTTTTTTCAGAAACTAACAAAAAAGGGTTCCAAAATACAAGTGATCCGATGAAATCTAGAGGCTGAAATCACCAAAAAATTTAACTACAAATGTTTTTTTTTTTTTTTTGCCAATCGAAGGAGGAGGTTTACCCACCTAGGTCGCCGCACCGACGTTGTCCCAACAAATCTCCCCGTTTTGAAGGGGTAACAGTAGACGACAATGGTAGAGGAAGGGGGTGACGGTACATGCGGAAGGGGGGTCGATGGTGTCTGCGGCGGATTCGAAATCCGGAGATTGGGGGAAAATAGGGCAACGGATTGAGGGCTTCAGAAATCGATGAAGGTTGGAGGACTAAACCCGGTTTCGAATCAAGGATACAGGAGAACCACGTGATTGCAGTGTAGAAAAGCTGAGAAAGAACAAAGCTTGCAACGGGAAGTGCAGGAATCTGCACTGTAGATGTGCAGAAAAATAACTCAAGTGGCAGGGGGAAGGTAAACTCAAAAACCGGGTAATAACTCGAAAAAATTTTTGAGTTCCATTTCGAGTTTTTCTTCTCCGAACGTGAACTTGGGCTTGGAATCATAACTCGAGTGGGCTTTCTCGAGTAAACCGGATAAACCGAACAACCCCATAGTTATTTAAAATTATTCTTATTTTTATTTTTTACATTTTTTAGAAAGAAAAAATAAAAATAATTTTAAAATAACGTTTGTTACAATTAAAGATAAAAAACAGAAATAAAAATAATTTTTTTGTTTAATATAAAATGTGAGAGCAATGAAAAACAAACGACTTATAGTCGTTTTTTATTTTTTATTTTCGTTTTATTCTCTCTCGAGCAGAAAAAGAGACATTAATAAAATTTTTTATACTGAAAACAATCTCTTGATAAAACTACCAAACGCATTTTCAAAAATAATTTCTATCTGAAATTGAAAACGTTTTTATTTTTATTTTCATACAAAACACAAATGGCGCATTTAGAACTCGTTCTAAAATGATTTATTCATTTTGTGAAAGTATATAAAAATAATGCTAAAATTAATAATCATTTATTTAAGAGTGATATTATTAAAATTAACCCATAATTCCAAACACGGCAAAAATCATTTTAAAATAAATTCTAAACGTGCCTAATATATCAACTTTGTATTTGTCTCCTTACATACAAATCTTCCGCAAGAATTCAAAGAACAAAATTCGATATATTTTACAGAAATGGTGAAAGAAAAGCTACTCTTGATGTATAAAACAAAAATTAATCCAAGTTCTTCCATTACATCTGTGCAGTTATGTTGCGAAACAAAGAAAGCAAGTATTTACACGTCTCTATTGACTTAATTGAATCCGTTTTTTGACAATCCTATCTGCAGAAGTAGATTTAACTTCTGTTCTGTTTGGTTTGTTAGTTTGAATTTTATTAATTTAAATAGAAAAATTCAAACTGTGTGATTTAAATTGTAATTTAAATTAATATTTAGATGTATAGTTAAAGTTTTAATTTAAACAATAAATAAAATTTAAATTTGTGTTTAATAAGTGTAAAGAACAGAGAGAATAGATACTTTTTTACTGTTTAAAAATAATTTAAATTGTTAAACTTGAGGGGGAATTAAACTCTACCACTGATTTGGGAAGGCTTCTCTATACCTTACATCCTCGCCTAAAGTGAGCTGAAATACTGTTCCCTCGCTAGCTCGGGCATTTAACAGCCTCTGTGCTAACCTATCTTTAGTTGTAACTTTCTTACGCAGCATGGACGAAAGTGACTGCTTCTTGTTTCTGGCCATCGGGTTTTTGCGATTAGTTGTTTCTATATCTTCTCCAATAGCTGCAGATCTTGAAGTTGAAGCCAATGCAGCATCCTTTAAAACTGATTCGTTGTGCTCCCGTACTTTTGCACGCTTTGCATGCTGCAGTTCCTGTTTATCTATTTGTCTTTTCCTTGTCACCTCTTTCTCTCTCTCACGAACATTCTTCACAGCTTGTCTTGCTAACCTTTCTGCTAAATCCTTTCCTACAGCTGAATTTGTCTCATCCTTTGAGGGATCCTGATCAATTGGCTTACCCTCATTATCTCGGGGTATGATAGGTCCATGAAATGGACACACCCTCAAATCTCTTCGCTCACAAAGTCTACCTTTGCTCAAAGGGGCACGACATGGTTGAATTTCAACTGTGTCTTCTTTATATACAGTAGCTTGAACACTTAATTCTGAAATTTTCTCTGCCGGAATAACCGCATCATAGTCCACCCTACCCCAGTGACCTTCAAGATCCAAACCCCGTTGGTTAGCTAGCACATCCCTCTTCGAACCCCAGTTGTCCAAGTGAGGGCCCCATTTAACGAATGGGGCTTCAGCCAAAAGCTTACTCTTCAAAGAGTTAGACTGAGATCCACCACCTTCACAACCAAGCATTTTCTTGTCACCAGGCTCTTTGCAACTGGATGCCAGATCTTTCTTTTTTACCTCATTAGATATTGACACAGCGGCACGATCTTCATTTCTCTCATGGCGAGCACCAGACCCTCCACTCTCGATGGATGTGATTTTACCCTCCTCCCAAAAATCTTCTTCATCATTATTTCCAGTATTTCGAAGAGCAAAACCCGCTTCTTCACACTTCTTCTTTACCGATTGGAGACAATTTTTCGTATCAATAAGCTCTTTCAAAGCAGAATCTCTAAATTTGTTGTCAGTCACTTCAACCCTCACAAGGACAGATATCCATTCTTGAACTGATACCAAATGTTTTGTCATTACAAGCTTGTACAGCTCCCTCAGAGCATCAAAAACCACTTTATTGTCGTTATTCTCGTGGACCTTTTCCGCTTCTTCCAAAGTACTAAGACGTATCTGCCACATCTCGGAGCTGCGAAACTCTTCAAAATCCTCCTCATCCAAGGGAACCAACGGCACCTGCTCCTCTCTGATACGAACAATTTCCAAACACTCTTCAATCTCATTAATCGTAGAATGTATTTCATCCTTCATCGAAGGAAAATTTTCCTTGAAAGTCTCGTACTTGTTGAGCAAGATCTCTTTGGACTTCCTCTCCCTTTCTCTTCTCTCCTGCTGCAGCCGAGCCGCATTAGCCTGTAGTTCAGGGAACTGGAACCGGAGAGTATTCTTGAGGTAATCAACCCCCAATCTGAGCTGCCTGTAATGAAACCCAAACGAGTCATTCCACTTCTCCAAAAATTCAATCGCCTTCGAACGCAGCCGATTTGCAACGGCTGGTGGGGCTGGGAGCGGCTGATTCCTCCGAAACCCGACACTTAGACTCAACAGATTGTCCATATTCTCAACAAGAAGGTTTCTAAAAAGCTTTGATCTCATGAAAAGTTGGTCAATTATGAGAAGAGAAAGGTACCGAACCTGCAAAAACATTTATCCGGCACAATTCTTCCATTAGCAAAAGACCATCCCCTCCGACAACCCTAACCCTAAAAAACAGACGCAGACATTGAAATTTAGACAAATTTACATCCTAAAGCCAACGAATTCACTCAACCAAATCTACTCAATCAACTTAATTCGTTCAACATTTTACGTTTGTCGACTCTCTCTCCTAATAAAAACTCGCAATCTATCCAAATATCAATTCAAAGGTCGTAAACTTTCCTCGAATTTTCTCCGCAACCAAACACGAGATAAGAAAAACAATCCGAAACCGAATTAACTCTGGAATTTCGACCCAATCACCAGACTCAATCCCAAACAGAAAATCCACTCCAAAACAAACAAATAAACAATTGGATTGAAGAATTCGAAAATGTAACAACAAAGATAAAGAACCTGAGAATGGTCGCGTTTCATGAGGTCCATGAGGGTGTGGGCGGCGATTCGGAGGTCGGAATCGGAGCATCGGACGACGGATTTGATGGCTTTGAGGAGGCGGGGATCGAGGTCTGGTTCGGTAGAATTGGTGGCGTTCTCAATCAGAACCCTAACCTTCGCTCCACGCCCTGCTCTCTCGTCTTCCATGGTACACCACTTCGATTTCTTGCCAAACACGGTATTTTCTCGCTCGCTCGGTCAAATACTCGACTCGATAAGGTCGGTTAGTCCTTCGAGAAAAATAAATAAATACTTTTTTTAGATTAAGAATCAATAATCCGTTAGAAACTAATCCAACCGGCAGGTCAACCTTTCAGAGAAGGTCCCAAAAATAAATACATAAATCATAGGTTCCAAAATTGTAAATTAGTTTTCTTTGCAGTAAATGAATAAAATTTAGAAATTAAAAACTTACCACTATTTCATTTTTACAATATATATTTGAAGGATATAGGGGATGTTTGGTTGGAGGATTCAAATCATGATTTGAATCATGATTCATGGTTCGTTACAGTGTTTTTTCTCACAAAAAATACACGTAAATCGAAAATAGTTTTAATCACATTATTTTAATCCATGAACCAAACGTCTCCAGTAATTTTGATTATTTTTTTTCTTACTTTTACGATAAATTTATATTAATAAATATGATAGTGCATTTCGTAATTGGATCATTATACTAATTATTTGAAGTAATTGATGCTATTGTTATAAAACAACAATAATAATAATAATACTAATAATAATAAAAATGCATAACTCAAGTCAGAACTTGAGTTGTATAGGTGAGAAAATGCACTGTAATAAAAAAAATTGAATTTAAATTTTTATGAGAAGAAATACTGTAACATTAAAATTTGAGTTATAACTTGAATTGTTAAAAAAATAAGGCTTTAATGTTATATTTTAGATACTTTTTAATGTTTAGTATTAACTGTAATTAACAAAAGGGAAAAATCATTCAAAAAAAGGTAATGGGTAAAATGGTAAAAATAGTAAAGAATGTGGTATTTATTGACTAACTAAAATAATTTGTTGTTTACCATCTTAAGTTTATAAAATATATTATATTCTATAATTTTTATCAGCTAATAATAGAATTCTTTTTTAAGTAAATAATGTGTTTTAAAATCATTCAAAATATTTAATTGCGTGTTTACTATAATTTTGAATAAAAGTTCCTTTTAATTTCAATGGACATTTTTTTTTTTGCATAAACAATAATTTTATTAACTAAAAAAATTAATAATATTATGTAATAGAAACAACTAGTAATTATTAATTCAATATTATATATAATATTTAGCTAAACTATAAGTATGACATTATAATTCAGTTTAAATGAAGAATATAATTCGAGCTAAATGCTTATCAAATACGAATTCAAACTGTATGTTCACTGTTCAAACTACGTTAAACTAATGAAACAAACATGGGCATAATTTATGTCACTCCACTCAAAAATAAATAAGTTGTCATTCAATTAATAAAGAAAAAATAAAAGGCCATGATATTCAATTATTTAGAATGATATAAATAATAGGTCTTAACAAAACCATGGCAAACTATATATTTTTCTATTATCTAACAATACATAAAAGAGCCAAAGCTCTTTTTTATGTGGTTGCCACATGACAGCCCATCCATTTATTTCTCTCCTTTTTTTCTTTTGTTATTTTTTATCTTTATTTTTTTTACATTTTTAATTTTTTATGTGCTTTTAAAAATATATTGTTCATCACTTTACTCTTATGAGAGTAATTTTTTTGTATGCGTTCCTATTTTATTTTTGATTGCTTAAAATAATTTTCTTCAAATATATCTCTGCTTAATTTTTTTGTCAATTGTTATTTATAAATTTAAAAATCCTTAAATGATTATATAAATGAATTTCTTATCATTCGGTAAACAATAAACTTTACATATGTCTCCAACACAGCAATACGTGCAGAACACGTTACAAAACTAATAAATATCTAAAAAAAACACTCTGATTGAACTAGGTTGAGTCTATTAAATTGTGAACTTTAACCCCGACAAGAATATTTAAAGAAAAGGGTCACGCCTAAGAGCCTGGCTCGAGCCAAATCCGTTAGACCGATGGGACTTGAAAATGTCTCATAAACCGACATAGCATGCATGATCCTCCACCGACTCAATGCATGCAAACAACGTCGCTACGATCACAAGGATGATGGAAGTACCTAGTGGCAGAGCCAGGATTTTGATTCAGGAGGGCTGTAAACTAAAAACGTAAAGGGGGCGTTTGGTATGCAGGAATCATATTCCCAGGAAAGTGATAGAGGGTAATATGATTCTTAAGAATAATACATTACTGTGTTTGGTTCCATACAGGAATCTTTTTCAAATTCCCAGGAATATTACATTACTGTGTTTGGTTGTTCACATGGAAGAAGATCCATAATAATAATATTAATAAAAAAATAATATTATTAATAATAAAAATAATAATAAAAAACACAATACAAGACTTAAAAAAGAAAAAAAGTAACGCGGATTGTACATCAGTAAACGAAAATAGTTGAATAAATAGTTTTCGATGACAATTACACGAAATGCTTCAGCAAAATAATAATAATAATAATAATAATAATAATAATAATAATAATAATAATAAGAATAAGAATAATAATAATAATAATAATAATAATAATAATAATAATAATAATAATAATAATAATAATAATAAGATTCCCATGATTTTGAGATTCCTGAAAATTTGAATAACACCATGTTGGGTGGTATTCAAATTACCTTAAAATGAGGGGAAAGTGAATCCCATGGTATTCACTTTCCTGGGAATCTAAAAATTATAATTCTTGTATCAAACATGGTAATATTGCAGATTCCCATTCCCATCCTTAAGATTACTGCATACCAAACGCCCCAAAAAAATGCTAATAAAATCAACTCCTAATATTTTTAGATGAGTAGTATATATGTATAGACTATTGAACATATTTGAGTAAAAAAGATTTTAACAAGTAAATTAGATAAGAAAACTATTTATGAGGTACATAATACCTATGAGAAAATAGTAGATGCGAGTGTCAGAAGGGGAAAAAAGATCTTTAAGTATATAGGGCACATTTGAATAAATACATATTACTTCAACAGGGCAAATTAGAGAAAATATATGTGTGAGAAAGTCGTAATTGAGATGATTGTTTGGAAAAACAATTCTTAATTAGGGACACATTTTGAGAAAAAATATTTTAATGGGTCATTTTTTATATAGCTTAGATTATATCTAAGAATATTTTAGAAGGGACCAATTTGAAAGAAAAATTGTTTTCATAAGAATAAATTAGAGAAAAAAATCAATTAGGTGTATTTAAAAATATAAGATTTAATAGAAAAAGATCAAAAGAACAATATAAAAAAATAAAATAATTTGAGATTAAATTTTGTAAGGATATATTTAAAATTTTTATTGATAAGTATTAGGGAAGTTAATTAGTTGGTGAGTTAGAGAGTTTGTTAGAGTTTGTTAAAGCTTGCTGTTAGAGCTATGTACACGTGTAAGAATCTAAGTGGATATGGTTTTGATTAGTTAGAAGTTGATCGAGCTATTTATAGCCAATATTGTACATACAATTGGGTAATAGAATTCAGTCTCTCAATTCTTTATAAAACATTCTTTTCTTCTCCTAATATGGTATCATAGCGACTCGATTCTGGTGAGAGAAATACTCAAACTGCCATGGATGAAGCTTCGAGTTATTTTGCCAAATTTGCTCCAGTTTCTTTTAGTCATCCAATCTCTATTCGTCTTGATCATTCCAACTTTCTTCCATGGTGAAAACTGGCCCTTTCTACGATTCGAGGGCACAAACTTCTCGATTTCATTTCAGAATCGAGTGCACCGCCATTGAAGTTTCTTACTGCCGCAGATAAGGCTATTGGACGGATAAATCCAGACTTCTTAGACTGGGAACAACAAGATCAATTGCTGGTTTCTTGGCTTCTCTCTTCTATGAGTGAAGTAGTTCTTGCTTGGGTTGTGGATTGTGAGACTTCTTCTCAGGTATGGCATACTCTCAATCTTTACTATGTTGCTCAGATTCATGCAAAGATTTCTCAGTACAAGACTCAGCTCAAGAACATAAGAAAAGATTTTTTGACTATGAATGACTATCTACTACATCGTCAATGTGTTAGTATGTTACGTCTTGTTGGCCATCTGTTTTCTTAAAAAGAACATTTAGATGCTATTTTTGAAGGATTATCCTTTAAGTATGATACGTTTATTCTTACTATTGAAGCTCGGAATGATGATTTTATTATTGAGGAAATTGAGTCTCTTCTTCTTTCTCAAGATGCTCGGAGTGAGAAAAATCACAAGTCTCTTGTCTCAGCACAAGCCAATTTGGCTTCGTCTTCTTCTTCTTCCTCACAACCTAGTCAAGGGTTCAAAAAGTATTTTCTTCGAATCAAAATTTTCTTAGGTCTTTTGGTGGTGGCTATGGCCAAGGACATGTTCAGCATCAATCTTCATTTCTGAATACTTTTCAAAATAGTTTTCAGAATGGTCAAGGAGGTCGAATTCCAAGTCGAGGTCGTAAATCAGGACGTGGTTTTTGGTCTTCTAATAAACCTCAATGTCAACTTTGTGGGCGGATTGGTCATATAGTGCTTGATTGTTACTATAGATTTGACCATTCCTTTCATGGACCCTTTCAATTTCAAAATGGTCAAAGAGCCTCGTATCCCTCTGCAGCAAATGTTGCAACTGTCTCAAATCTGTTTCTGGACCCAACAACCACTCCAGCTCAAGCCTTGACTGCTACTGCTAAAACTGTTACAGATTCTAGTTGGTATCCAGATTCGGGTGCTTCCAATCATGTCACCTCTATAAAATATATTGGTCAGTTAAACTTTTATTCTCCTTATACCTCAAAAATTCTTTCTTTAAAACATCTATTACATGTTCCAGATATTACAAAAAATCTCTTGAGTGTCTCTAAATTTACTCGTGATAATAATGTCTTCTTTGAATTCCATTCTCACAAATGTTTTGTCAAAGATCAGGTTGCCAAAATTGTGCTTCTGGAGGGGAATCTTAAGAATGGCCTCTATGTGTTTGATCAAAGTCAAGTCAATCTTACTACTCAGCAGTCAGCTTCTCCTTCTCCACTTTTTTCTACATCTTCTACTCAATCTTCAACTGCATCTCATACTACA